CAAACATTTCTTTAAATGTGATCGTTCAGAATTCGTTCGAACACTCTTATTTGCACAGGTGGGAGCGGAATGGCGAACTTTTTTTCTATGGCGGGGGTAAGAATATCATAGAATCTATTTTAATTTTAATTAGAATGTTATATTAAAAAACTTGTGAAATGCTATACCATTTACAGTCACGTCATGCGAAATCCACATGACCGGATTCGACTTTGTGTAAACCACACGATTAGACCTCCATCCTAATGACAACTTGTATACAGTCAGCCGGTTCTCTGAACCCTTTGCCATTTGTTTGCATGTGCAGATAAACTATTAATTAGTACAGAACAAAATAAATTTGTTTCTCTGAATACGTTCTTGTTCGCGAGTGTGATTTTTAATTAAAAAAAACCCAAGTTAGCGTTAACAAGTAAGTCTCTATATTAGCCACGAGAATTGACATTATTGTATATCCATAAAATTGGTTCGTGCCGCAATGACCAAATGCGATGTTACTATATTAACGGATAATCAAAATAGTGACAGCTTTGTCGTCTCTTTAATTATTAATGGAAGGAGAAGTAGTCAAAAACGGTAGATTATCAGATTTAACGAATATACATAATTTATACTTCAAACGTATGCAAGATTTGCTGTCAAAACGGTTGTCTTAAACTTGCTTTCTTTTCAGTACGTTGTCACGGATGAATCCGTTTGATATTTGGATCAGAAACAACGTAAAACCCTGTTTTTGTTTTGCCAAATAGAAACTAACAAACCGTTGCTTTTTAAATGTGCTTTCTGACAAAAGGTGACGCTACTGTATATTATTTATTATATTGTCGAGCTGTTTTCTTTACAGTCAACGATCTTGTATTAAATTATCGACTATCAGGTTTCATTTGTAATAAAGACCGTAAGGTAACTAATTTAACAGTTAAGCTAAAACTACGATGCGAATTTATCGACAATCAATAATCGCCAATAATGTTATGAATTTAATTTAATACAAGATTTTATTTGGAAATAACCCGGATAACAGTTTTTGCGAAAAGTATAAAATAAAAGAACACTGACAGTGATAGTCGCGCTTTGAAGTAGACACAGCATGGGCATACTTTGCTAATTACAAATAATTATGATACTTTATAGAATTTGACAAATTCAGCCTGACGTGCAGTCTTACACACTTGCCTGTATTATTTCCAACTTGTACAGTCTCGGTATTGTAGCGTGACAGAAAAACATTGTAAATGAGCGGAGACAAGCAGATTCAAGTAGCGGTGCTGGGCACCTTGATACTAAATTCCCTTGCATGTGTCTGTGTATTCTGCAAAACTGCTTGTCGATGGAGGGACTCTACATCTAAAGAAATGCCTATAGTATGGAAAGTGTCACTCTATACTGCGACGCTTGGTATGTACTCACGATTTACGAACGAAACTAAGCATCGAGGATGATTGTTTTGTTTAAAGATTAACTGACTGACTTTGATTTCAATAACAAACACTGGCTTTAGACTTTATGCTATGTATCATAATGATGCTCGAAACGGTAAAAAAAGCTCGAGCGAAAACATTGGGACGACAAGTGTTTCAAGAGTTCATACTAACTTTGTTTCAATATGATAGGTATCACCCAAGCCACACATGGGACAGAGTTTTATGATAATGAAGGGAATCGCACTCGTGATAATTTCAATGTCTATGTTTATGGGAGGGACCATGATAGTGTTGACGTATCTAAATTTATGTAAGAAAATGGATTTGGATTTGGGAAGACATGATTGGAAATTATTCGCAAGTGTGATGGGAGCATCATTACCATTGTCGTTCACAGCATGGAGTATTGGGTGAGTACAAAGGATATATCATTTCGACTATCACTCAATAATTCCCAAAATCTAACCATAATCGGCATTCCATTCAGTCATCTGATTTCGGGTTGGATAATCACGTTGCCCGTGATTGTAGTCTTTGTTTCTATATCGATTACAGCTCTGCTGGTGTTGTACTGTTACGTAAATACATTGAACGTTATATACAAGGTCGGCCATGATTTACTGGGCAGTAACATGGCTTCACAGAGGACAGTACTCGAGAAGGCTGTTTCCAAGAAGCTGTCATACTATTTGTGGGTGTTCTTCTGCAGAGTATTGTTGTTAGTGGGATACATTATAACACTCGTGAATAAGGTGAGCACAAATACAAATTAATGCATGTCATACGCTGTTCATGTGTGTACTAACGCTGTTGATTGTAGTCCACTGATGCAACCGTATCTGCTATAATACTCTTGGGTTCGTATGTTATGCATATTTATGTTATGCATTTATGTTACGTATGTTATTATTCTTATTTACGTTAAAATGTTTTTCATTCAACACAACGTTACGATTATAGGTCTTTCTATTGGAGGTAAATATGATGTTCACATTCAGTATTGTGACTTGCTATTTACAAATTATAATACTAAAGTGAATTCGCCAATTCGATTACGCTACAGTTTCATTTAATGTTATATTTTCTGTATTATATCTGGAATCTACTACGAGATGCTGTCTAAAGAAAAAGACTTCAATTGAGATGGATGACGAAAACATATGTGTAAACAAAACACCACAGACTCCAATGACTGTGATCGTGAGCACGCAGAAATAACGTAAACACGACTTTTTGTTATCTCGTATATACTGTACGTTAATTATAGGCTTTGTAATATTAACGGATTTTTATTCTTTTAATTTTTTATCCCAACAATGTTTATTTCGTGGGTTTAATTTCAAGTTTCAGAATTTGTAGTTTTTTCAAACAATCGGATTTTCTTTACAGTTTTCTCCGTGTTCGCAAATGGTATTTTTATTAGGTAGCTGTTATATTTTAATTACTTTTGTCACTGACACAAAAATTGTGGTAATTTCCATTTGTTTTAATTGCGTCGGAAGGCAATCGGCAACTAACCATTAGAGAGGCAGGCATCTTACTAATATTGTCAGCAAATTTCTCGTGCTCACGATTAATATCAAAAAAGAATTCGGCAATACCCAAATATTGGTTTTATAGTGAAATGTACACGTGAGCTTTACAAGATTTGAATGTCGATTTTAACCTCGGAAAGTACTAGTTCTGCTTACCAAACCAGTGCCCTGCCTGCACTTGCATATTCTATATTCTATATTCGTACATTCCCGTTTATAAGCTAGCACATGCTGAAGAAAAAGATATAATCGGCCTTTCTCACGTCATGCTAAGCGATTCTGTTTTGGCAACATTCTGAGAATCCCAATTCAAAATTGATCCTTTCCCCAAAGCAAGTGATTTGCAGAGTGTTACGACGCTTTTAATTTATTTAGTATTAGGA